AATTGGGTACTTTCTGTATTCAAATGCAAATTTTCCACTTTCAGACCCCCCAAACCCCCAAAAAGTGCCCACGTTTTTTCCAAATAAAAAAGCTCATCTGATACAACTTTTCAAGCTCTACAAGATGTGTATAACCACTCCGGCTGAATCTCTTTCCTTTAACCTGAAATTGGGTACTTTCTATATTCAAATGCAAATTTTCCACTTTCAGACCGCTCAAGTTTTTTTATAACGGATAGTTTTTAAAAAAGAAAACGTTTATATGATAGAGAATTTTATTTTCTACAAAATGGTTACAATTTGTTCAGTCAAAATGCAATGAATCACCCCTCAAAGCGGTCCTTTTCCGATATACCATCGGTATAAATTTTGCTCATTGCGGCGCTCAGTCACACGTTGACCTATGATTGCGCATGCTCTTCGCTGACTCCGCCCCTGTGCTCAGACGCGTTTGTATGGCGAAGTGCGACGACGCCAGTAGTATCATCATTGACAGGAGGAACAGTTTAGGTCAAGGAGAAAGGGGGTGTGGTCTAACACGCACAAAACACGCATCAGCCATCGCATGCATGAAGGCATTCTGCCACGGCTCTCTCCACATATTAACAACTGCTTTCTCGATCATGCAGAATAATTTAAGTAGAAATCAATTCAATTTAAGTAATGGCCATGCTCGCTGCTACTTGTGATCCAGAAACAAATGTTGACAAACACAACAAATTTCGTTTTTACAAATAATGACAAACACTAAGCACCAACTGAGTACAGTTCGGATTCATTTTGCAAATACATTCGGTTCACCTGATGTGAGGTGAAGAATAGGTCAGTTGCAAATTTACACTCACAGTCAGAGAAGTGAATCCATAGTGAACAGTATTAACGTGCTGTGCAGTATAGGCTTAATGCATTCTGCTTCAAGCTGAAATAAATCCATACTGGAAGGTGTTGACCTATAGTGCAGTAGAAATCAAGTGCATATCAATACAAGCTGAAATGAATCAACAGTCAACAGTATTGATCCATAGTGCAGTACAGCCTAATTACGATGCTAGGTTATAAGAATCATAATAATGTAACTATAGTAATTATAATTATTATAAGTTGTGATGAAATCTTATGTTACAACAATAACAATATCGTATCGCACTAATCAAACGTGATAAACAGTGCACTGAACGAGAGAATTTTATTCCCTACAAAATGCTCATAATTGCTTCAATCATTCTGCAATGCATTATCCTCCAAAACGGTCCTTTTCCGATATACCATCGGCATAAATTTTGCCCATTCAAGTGCTTAATCACACGATTGTGCATGCTCTTCGCTGACTCCGCCCCTGCGCTCAGAAGCGTTTTATGGCGAAGTGCGACGAGCTGAATATGACGACTGAATGTGTATCGGGATTGAACTGCAAGGTTGCGATGAAACTCTAGGCGCTGGTGTGTGCTGCACGTGCGATAAATGATATTAAAATCTTAAATCATCGAAATCAATTATTTCAATGGCTAGTATTATTAAATGGCTTCTTCGACGTCGGGACCAGTGCTCCGTGCATTATGCTCCATTCGGAGTTCCAGGTTTCTGTTTGATCCATCCACTTGATACCATTCGTTGCACAAAATTATTTTGCATCTCACCCTTATCGTTAGTCAAATTCAAGTAGTCGATTTTTGGTATAGGAATTGGTCAGATGTTGACTGTTGCATTGATTTTTTGTCAATTTATTTCATTTGATAAACGTCGGATCCTCATTAGAATTCTGCACTTGTTTCTTTGTTGCAGCTTCTTCGCAGTTTCTGAGAATTCAATCAGTGGATTGGTGACTTTATCAGCTTGGTGACTGACCATTTCATGTAGGTTAAAACGGAAGAGTAAATAGATGGGACGAAGTCTGATACAGGAGATCCTGTTCGATTTGATGATTGATTTGTTGAATGGAAAACGATTGATAGTTGTCAAGAATTTGTCAATTAATTGTGAAGTGGATAGAAAAGTGACCACAAATCTGTAATCGAGTTGAAGAAAATAAGCAGTGTGAATATCAGTAAATCCCTCAGACGGTGTAACACTCGTTATTGAAAGAGACTTATCATGTCCATTGTAGGTGATGTCGGTGAAGAGCGGGCCCAACCAACAACATTGATCGTTGCGCCATTTGATGATAATCATCCGGATTTCATTTTCATGCGGATGTGTCATGCACAACGTGCCGCTGTGGTGAGTGGTGTTGTCATCAAAATCTGTTGTGTCGTCAAGTATTTATGTTGAACCAAACTCAACAAATATTACAAATCGTTATTTTCAGTATGAATTTTAGGCGTCAGCTGGTTTCGGCATGTCGTTTGTAATACTCATGTTCATTTCGGCATTCTTTGAATTCGACTGGTATCACCATAAGAAGGGAGTCGACTTAGTTGCTCTATGTAAATTTGTTTATTCGCCCGATTTTTGAATTTCACATTTGGCAGTCAAGTCCAGTTTCATTTGTCTTTACCTAGTTTAGTTTGCTGATCAGAAGCTTTATTTGAAACAATACAGTAACTGTTGAAGTAAGTTCGGCAAATAAGTCTCTCAGAAAGTCACTATCATTGTGTGAAGGCGCTATTCGAAAGACGACGCATTAATCGCACAAGGTGGTATATCTCCACAATTTCATGAATTATTTATTTCCCCATTTCAGTAACATTATTCTTTTATTTGGCTCTTGGAGTACTCATTCATTATTACGTCCTACTTGGTGTTAAACACAATTGTGCTAGTTATCTTCTACCGTTCATCATTGTATATATGGTTATCATTGGTAGTGAATCTGTTGCAGCATTGTAAGTTTATTTTTATCGTTTGATCCTATTCAAAGATTTAAACAAGCTTTGTATCTGTCCTCCCATCAAATTATACACCCTTAAAAAGATACATTTGCTATTTGTTGGTGCGTGATTCGTTGAGTGCTTATCATTGTACAGTCATTTTGTGGATGATAATGTGTTCATATTGAGTTGAATTAATATCTCTCATTTCAGATATCCGCTGATGCATATACGTTCAACGCATGGCTTTTGGCTTGGTGATGATAGCCGTAATGTTTTCATACTCACATTCATTATGTTCCTCATTATCGTATCTATACAATCCATCATGCTTGCGGCTGTGTGCAAATGCCGGTTATATTTATCGTGTAAACATGCGCACATCACGGCCATGAAAGTTGCTGAAAAGAGTGTTAGTTTTTCAGATCATGCAACGACTTTTTTACTACTATGGCCTCTCAGATTAGGTTATCGGAAATAATTTTTCTTCCCTTCGTACAGATTTCATAAACTTATAATTGCTTTTTGGGAATATAATTTCCATTTTGATTATGGTCAACGCTCTTTATTTGTTTGTTTTGTTCTTTTTTTTAATTATTTGTTTTGTCTGACTGAAGCGAACAATAAGAAGTGATTCTTTAGCGTTGCAAATATCCTGGTATTCAAATTTTATTAGCAAATGATCATAGACCAGTAAATGGTACGGTTGCAAATGAGAATGTGACAAGAACACAGCAAGTGAACGATGATGATAATACTAACGTCGATCAACGTTCGCATGAAGTTCGTTCATCATATGTGCAACAAATTAACACTCAAATGCAGTTTGAAAGTAGCGCTCAGCCACCACCGTACGCTGCAGCTGCAAGCTCAACGTATGCTTATGACCAACCTAACAGTCACTCATCAGCTACAGAAGCCAATACCACCACTGCTCATACAACACTACCACCATCTATTTCCGACAAATAATGCGATCACTTATAAATGGCTGTTGTTGTCATCATTATGACACAAGTTCATGACAGAATACAGCGGTGTCTGATCCTATTCCCACATCAAATGGACATTCACTTGTTCACCTGAAGGATTTCCGCACTCTCACACAAAAGAAAAACTAATGCTATTCAATACCCCTTGCTGACTCATTCATTCTCTTTTTGTTTCTCTCAGTTTGTTGAAGATGATTCTTTGGGTATCGTCAAGTTTTGATCTTCATCAATCGATTTGCGTCTTCTCAAGCATGATTGTCATCTATATTGCTTGCCATTACATTTGAATATGTTCTTAACGAATCTTCTTTCGCCTTCGTAATATAACGTTGATTACTTTTCCAATCATCTTGAAGCATTTGACTTTTCATCAACGAAATAGTTTATTCCAGTGAATATTCAAGATGATTTTATGTGCGGCTAAATACTTAACCCAAAATATGATGCTTTCAGTTGATGTGTAACGGTTATCATTGATGTTGTATTTAGGAGTTTTCTGAAGAGTGAATAATGAACTTGACTCATTATTGCATTATCGCTCTGATCGTACATTACGATCGCCACCCTTCAAATCATTAATTGTTCCGTTCAAAATGCTTGCTCACCTATTCGAACTAATTTATACGCTCACTGAGACGATCACAACTCGCATTTCAATCTCCATCAGTCATTCTCTCAATTTAAAAAGTTTCGTTTGCTTCTCATTGTACTCGCAAATTTTTTAAATTATTTTTTATTCCATCTTTTGTCTGCTGTTAAGTAATGGTATATGTTCGCGTGATGTTATAGGNGTATCAACATTGTCATTATAATCATTTCGTTGAGATCATTCAGTTCAGCATTTGATTGCTTTTGTTGTCGATGATGTACTCAGTAGAAAATTTTGCTTTATTGAATGTGATATCAGACTTAATGTGTGATTGACGGCGATCGATTTGAATGCGACTCAGAAGTGAAGTGATTGTTGCCGTTCAAAAGTTGTGCTTTAATGAGCTAGTGCTTATCAATAAAGCATTTCGACTCCACTCATTCGTCATAATCATCTGTCTTCGTATATTTTAGCACAATTAAGTAATTTGTATTCTCAATGCTCATTTGCAATGCTGCTGCAAAATTATTTGTGTTTTATCATTTATTTTGCAGTGTTGTACTTCAACAGTTGTTTAAGTTTAATTATATTCTTAAAATAACAGTAATCAATTTTTGTTTTGAGATTTCGACTGAAATTATTCCCGTATCAAATTCGCATTCACATTACTTGATCAAGAGTTTTCTTAGCATTTATAAGTACAATGCAACAGTTTTCATTGTTTCAGTTACGTTCAGCTATAAACTTTACTCATGTGTTACTAACTGTGTTGTTTATTTAATTGAAATATTTTGTTCTGATGAACCACTTCATCATTTAATTTGGAAATGACCTAAGAAATCTGATGTCTTGTACTATTTATTTGGTATGTGTGTTGCACTATATATATGTATGTATATGTATCTTATCGCCTCCAAGTGTATTTTCAGTGTCATCTTCACCGCTTATCGTATGTTAGATCGATAAAACATTTGAAAAGAGTGTTGAACACATTCGTATTCACTTGATTATATCCTTGTAACCGACTGTTTGTATAATAATCGAAATTGAATTTAGAAGATTAATGCACGGAATTTCGTCAAACTGAAGCTCAACTTTTTTTGTAACTTTCAAAATAAGAATGACTGAAATAAGATCAGCTGCATCGCGTGCATGTACGATAAGATCTAAAAACGAGCTGCAATTTAACAAATCAGTTCATAGCACCTCAAAACATTTTTTAGAAAATATTTGGAAATTATGCAGTGATCGTAAACAGTTGTTTAGATGGCAAGTTAAGCGTGTCAAAACTTACCCTCGAAAGACATGAGTATTTTCAATTAAATCATGTATTATAAGGGTTCAGAAAGTAATTTTCAATTTTAAGCATTGATGAAAGATTGCTATGAAAGAGCAGAAGGATAAAAAGCGTGAGTAATTAAAATGGCTGCAAACTGCACCAGGCCATCCGGACTACAGGCATTTAGCCTGTTTCTAGACATGTGATATGAAAGAAAGGAACACCTGGAAAATATGGATTTCATGTCCGGGATGTCAAAAAGAATGTCTGGGTGTCAAACTTATGTCAATTTTTTGAGCATTCGTTGGCCTTTTTGTGTTCCAGTTTACATTGCAATGGTGTGATCAGTTGTTTAGTTTGATGGCAGAACTGACAGTTGTTAGTCTGATAGCAGTTACTGATTTGATTCGAGTCATTTATGTGGTTCGATGGGAAGAGAAATACAATTGAGATTCTCGCATTTCGTAACGGTTAGTAAAAAAATTTGTAATATTATTCGTCGTTTCTTGCCCAGAAATTTAGGCATTTATTTAGTTTACTATCAGTTTTAAATCGATTGCTTTTCCTAAACATAATGCTCCGACGATAGTGTTAATTTCTTGCTCATTGATCGGCATTATCCTCATTTAATTGTATGTCTGGTTTTGAAGGCAACAAAACTTGAAGGTACTTTCATTATGAATATACCTCAGAATATGTAAAATTGTTAGTCATTGAACCGATATGACAATGAGGTGGAGTAGATTAAAGCGTACTTTCACTGATATACTTTTTACAGTACGAAGAAATTTATAAATAGTTTCGAAAATATTATTGCGACAGTAAAAAACGAAGTGAACAATTGAAGCAGTTTATACATAGAAATAAGTAAAGAAAGTGGTGTGATTATGTGCTTCGATGGTAGAAATGAAGACAGTATGAAGTAGATAAGCAGAACAGGAACAAGCATGAAAGAAATAATCGAGCATGATAAGATACACACAGAAATTGTATTGATAGTGATAAGTTCATCCATTTTCCACATTGAGCAGAGGTGAGAAGTACATCGGATTTAATATGTCAGATTTGTACTACATTAATCTCTCTTCGTTCATTTGCTCGATCGTATTATTGGTGTTAGAATCTGTATAAAAATCTTTCGATATCAGTCGCATTATATCAAGATCATTTTGTTTTTTCAAACATATCGGGCATTGTTTAAAGGAAAAAGAGAATGGATTTAGATAAATAACAGCAAATGAGCAAACAGAATTAGTTCCTCATCCAAAGTATTCATTGAAATCGATGGAACGAAAAGTTCTGTCATGCATGAGCTCCTCAAACGTCTACGTTTTGTTCGTTTACGTTTTTTTTCTATTTTGTTCCAAACTGTTCCTTCCTCATTTGCGAACTGTTCTATTCTATTCCATGGAACAGAACAGAAATAGAACAGTTTAACTGGAACAGAGACATCACTAACACGTAATGCACAACTTCGAATAATGCACAACTCATCGCAGTTCTTTCCCGTCTCCTCTCCCCCCCCCCCTGCTTAGGTTTTCATCCCATACACTGATTCCGTTTTATTAACTGTAAATTTCTTCTTCTCCTTCAAAAATTTGAAATGCTACATTCAACGGGCTACGTGTTTGAAGCTACACTGTCCAATAACTGAAAATAGACCGGAATCTACAAAGAACATACTGGAACAACCACTTATGAAAAAGCTGCACAATAGCCGGTAAATCGACATGACTTTAATACCCACACAAAAACAGAAGTGTTTCATTCTCAGATATTGGTTCCAGAAGTCTAGAGCATAGATGTAACTAAGGGAAAGAGTGTAAGAGCGCGTGCTTCCCCCCTCCCCTCCTAGAGAGGGAAAGGAAAGGGAAAAAGAAGAGGGAAAGAGAAGTGAAGAGAAAAAGAAGCGGGGAAAGGGAAGGAGGAAAGCTACAGAATGAAAAAATGAACTAGGAAAATTCACCTCAGAGTTCTGCTATTTTTTAGGACGAGACTATTTCGTACTTCACCTCCCCGGAAAAAAAAACTTGGCTATACTTCTGGTTTGGAGTTCTGATTCTTTTCGTTTCGGTCGACTCTTTGATACGGTCACATCCGTGATAAGAGCAGGATTTTTTAAGAAGATGTATTGCTCATTAATTTTGCATGGCGAGAGCGCAGTTGCGATTATTCGATCACTGCCCACGAGTTCAAGAGAAAGGCCACTTCTCATAAGTTTTCCCAGAATTGCTTACTCAGTGCTTAAACAAGTGTTTGTTTGCAGTTGCTTGCTCATCCATATTTTGCTCAAGTTCCCTATCACTCGATGTCAATCATACATTCTTATTTTCGCGCACTCTCGAATTACCTAGATTTTCATTAGGCTAAATGTTCAGTAAGCCAGATGTCCAACATTCTAAATGTCCACTAATTCAAATGCTCAATAGGTCAAATGTCCGGTTACGACTAAAACATGGTCCTTAGAGATATATTCGGTACTCTTCTTGATATGATTGCGAATAACAATGGTTAGTGATCAATGAAGAATTTGAATGAGACCCAATGAAATAGAAATGTAAAAACCTAAAAGAAGAAAGTTTGATATTCAACGTTACACCTTAGTGCATTCTGGATATCCACAGCGAAAACCATGTAAATTAGCTTGACATAGGGCAAAAGAAAGTAATACTTGCACCAAAATGCAATAAATCAAAAGCAGATCTTCTTGTTTTGAACAAGGTCAATCTCTAAACCCTATAACTAAAAACAACTTCTGAACACCACTACAGACTGAGCATATGATGAAAATAGCCATTCCCTACCATCAACACATCTGCCATTCAAACTCAAAGTAAAACCCAAAAGACAGACTAGTTACGGTCGAACAACTAGTTCCATAGCAAATCAGGGGCTCATTCATAATATCCATTGAAAAAGTTCAACTGCGAGAAAGTCGACTACCGAAGGATCGACTTATCACTACATCTAATGCGAAGCGTCGACCACTCAAAAGATCAACTAGTCAAAATGTCGACTAGTTATTGCTACAGTCGTTATTACTGGTAATATTACCGTTTACTAGTGGTAGTATTATTATATTGTGTAAGACTGTTTTGGCACTCCTTCGGAA